ACGTGGGCCCAGGGGTCAGAGGACTCACCACACTCACCCCGGCGAGCGGTGGAAGCCCGGCACCCGGGCGGGGAGGCAGGTCCCCGGCGTTCGGGCCTGGGCAGTGCTCCAGGGACAGGCTGATGCCTCTGAATCCCGTGTCTACCCTTGAATGTGACTTTGCCTGGAAACCATCTGGTCCAACTTCTGTATTTTCAAGATGAGGAAATTGAGGCCAAGCCGCAGAAATGGGGTGGGTTGCTCAAGATCTGACAGCAAGACAGCCCAGCCCAGCCCTCGCAGTCTCGTGCGGGTCACAGAGCGGGGGTCCCGAGCTTGGGAGCAAGGCCTCGCGCTCACCACGTCTGGTTCTAAGCCCACCCCCGGCAGAGGCCCAAACGTGCAGCTGAGTTGGGTTGGAAGGGATGGCACTGACTTGGGGAAACTGTTCCAGCGTCAGCCTCAGTCTCCCTCTGGTGTGTGTGTGGCTCAGAACCAGCTAGGCCTCGCTGGGGCCGGGTCTGCAGTCAGAAGTCTTGGCTGGCATCACCTGGCGCACAGGCATGCGTGTGTCTGGCTGAGAAGACATGTGCTCTGGTTTTCCTTGGTGCCCTCCGCCCGCCCCGGGGCGGCCACAGAGCTGGGCAGCGGGATTGCAGCCCCATCAGCCACCCCGGTGCCCTAATGAGCTCAGCGCCTTTCTAAAGGGCACCGGCCCCAGAGGAAGCCTGCCCTTGCCCCCAGGGCCTCGGTGGGCGGCAGCCGCTCACTGGGCCTTGGAGTTCCCGGCAGGCCGCTCTGCGCGGTCCCGCCTATGACAGCTGAGCTAGCAACTTTCAGCTCCCTCTTCACTTTCCTTCTTCAGTCAGTTTTGAATGAAACGGGATGTTTGATAAACTCGGTTACAGGGTTTTCTTCAGAGGTGTAGCAAGGTTAGAAAGCGTCAGAAACATGGCATAGGGCATGATGGGGTTTTGCATCTTAATATGAAAGGAAGGCTGGGAAGGGCTTCACTAGTAGTTCTTTTTCTCCTGTCCCCTCTCCACAGCCCCCCTCCCCACCCCGAACCAAGTGTTGGCAACTGTTCCCAGGCTTTCTGTCTGCAAAGAAATTGGCCCAGGAATCACCTGGAGGGGCCCTCACGCTACGAGGAGCTTCCTAGGGAGGTGACCTGCTGTTGGCGACCAATGGTGGCCGAACCCCAAAATGTCCTTCAAAGGCATTCTCTAGGGACATAAACTGGCGGAGAGCGTCTGGGAGGCATTTGGAGATTCCTCAGGGCGACAGAAGGCACCGAGCTCCAGCCCCGCTCCTTCCTGGGACAGAGGGGACGTTTCAGTCCCAGAGGCCAGAGCCGTGGCTGGCGGCAAGGCAGCTCTTAGCGGTACCGCCGCGGTCAGTGTCTCGGCTGGGGCCTGTGTTCAATGCCTTCCATTCCTGTTCGGTCTTCACTGGCGTCTCGGACAGCGTTGCTTCCTCCAGCTGAGCAGATTTGGTTGACTACATACAACCATCGCCGGCCCCCAAGAGTTTGGGGGAAACGTGTCACAAAAAACAAAGTCATGGGTTACGGACATTGATGTTCCTGTCAGGTCTGGGTCACCTCTTTTGCGTGTGCGGCTGCTGCTTTTGTACACTTGCGCTTGTCCTTTAAATGTCTTGCCATTTCCCCTGTGGTGGCTTTGGTCTCTGTGACGAAAGACGGTCCGAAGGTGGCGGAATCCCGGTGTTTGAGGTCAGGCGTCCCCGGTTTTACCGATGAGGAAATGGCCAGAGAGGCACAGGCCTTAAATCACAGCGTGGAGTCGGGGACACGGTTTCTGTGCCCCGGCCTGCGTGCTTCCACGATGCTTCTGCGGCCCGAGGAGCAGGTAGGCTCCCAGGGGCCATGCGATGTGTATCTGCCGGGAAGGGGTGGGAGGAGAGGGACCAGCCTTCCCGGGCAGCCATGAGGAAGTTGAATGATTGGGTAGAAGGCCTGTCAATCACAGGTGTGGGCAAATTCACTCGGAAGTGGGCACAGGCCGAAGGGACCGCCTTGCCCTTCAAGCTGCAAAACTTCAGGATCAGACGGGCCTTAGACATGCAGCAAAACGTAGGGCCTTTCTCTGGGGTTCCCCAAGCCCTCGCAGGCCAAGGTGAGGAAGCAGCCGCAGCTTCCCAGGTGACCCCTGGAGCTGTTTGTATTTTGGGAGCACCTGTGGGAACCCCCTTCCCCTGAGTGGCCTTAAACAGCCATGAGGCCTCCGGGCACCTGCTCCAAACCCCCGTCATCGGCAGGAGTGACCGTGATATTCGGTGGCACAATCCTGCTGTTTGGCCAAAGCTGAGGCTCTGAAGTGGGCGTCTCTCAGATCCGTCATGCTATGTGGTCCCACTGGGCAGATGCCACCAGCTAAAGCCACAGCCAGTTCCGTCCGAGGAGTTTGCTGACTGCCAGACGTCTTCATTTCTACTCTGTCCCCTTTGGGACCCTGTTAATCGGCCCTTCTCTCTTGTATCTGTATGGCAGGTGCAATGATAATAAAACCTCTTTCCTCCAGTGTCGGAGGATTAAGCGCTCGCGCAGGAGTGTGTGTAAAGCCGGCGTGGAAGCCACTTCCTACAGGATCGCTTCCTTCCCACCCTCTGCTGTGTGTCCCTCACACACTTCAGCTCGTGGAATGGCTTCTGCACCAAGAGCAGCCGCCCAACTCTTCCTTGCAATTCCCAGAGTCGTTCGCAAACTCTTCCTGGATCCTTGCCCCTCTGCAGACCTCGTCTGGCAGCTTAGCGGGCTGTCCTGGGAGGGCTGACTTCCTGCGGCCTTGCATGGGCTTCACTGTAATTGTGTTCATCAAAATTCCTGGGTAACCAGATCACTCCATTCCTCTTTAGGATCAGAAAATAGAGTGTATTGTTCTGTGTCCTCTCCCTGCCCAGTCCTGACAACAGGCCCAACTCAGATCCGAGTTGATTGGCTTGCAGATGGATAGGCAGGGTGGCTGGAGCCTCCCTGAGACTCCCGGGAGCTCGACATGTCTGCAGGCTCAAAAAAGTTCGGCCTCAGGCCCATGGCTGGCAGCGCTGTGGGTGCTGGGAGGAAACTCCCATGGCACTGGTGCCCACCTCTTGTCATGGGTGCCAGTGACATCACAGTGTAAGGCTTCCTGTATTCCATGTTGGATAACCATTCAGTCAGACACCGCCCCCCTCACCCCCCCAGAGCTGGGATTTGTTCACAGTGGGGCACGCACGTTGCTGGGACGGCCATTCCCTGTCTACTTGTTTGGTGAGATCGCTTCTTTAAACCCGTTTAAAGGCCAGTTACTACCACAGTCCCAGCTTCCATCCATCCGTCCACCCAGCGGTCCAATAGTCTCTATGTGGAGACTAAGACTAGGAATAAGATCGAGGT